TAAATCATAATGTAAAAACGAACGCCCGGAAAAGCTTAAAAGCGCAGGGTTAAAAATGTAACACTAACACTAAACATAAACTTGTCATTTTTGTATTACTATTATATAAGATTAACTATGTATCTAAACCCAAAAAGAAACCGACAATAAACTGAAACTGAGCACCACTATGATCAGTGAATTGTGTTTGTGAAATCATAAGTGAAGTGAATAATGCCGCCTAAAACCAGTGGAAAAGCAGCCAAGAAGGCTGGCAAGGCCCAGAAGAACATCACCAAGACCGACAAGAAGAAGAAGCGCAAGAGGAAGGAGAGCTACGCCATCTACATTTACAAGGTCCTGAAGCAGGTCCATCCTGACACCGGCATTTCGTCGAAGGCGATGAGCATCATGAACAGCTTTGTGAATGATATCTTCGAGCGCATTGCTGCCGAGGCCTCTCGTCTGGCTCACTACAACAAGCGCTCGACCATCACCAGTCGGGAAATCCAAACGGCTGTTCGCCTGCTCCTGCCCGGAGAGTTGGCCAAGCACGCCGTTAGTGAGGGAACCAAGGCTGTCACCAAGTACACCAGCTCCAAGTAATTTTCTCTTGCTGCGGATGCGGAGAAAGATCCAAAACGGCCCTTTTCAGGGCCACAACATATTTTACCAAAGAAACTAAATTTTCAATATACCATAAACCATTTGCCATTTGCCATAAAATATAAAATGATCAATTTGGTGCACCATTTTTTTAAAGGACTTAATCATTAACATCTATTTACAAAGAAATTGTGCAATGTCTCCTCTATGAACCTGGTATACTGATATACTTTCTACTGGCGGCCAGGTGCCACAATATAAATGGATACATTAAATGTATTGTTTTCAATTGAAAGTTTCTTTCTCTTGTTAACCAAAGTTGTAGCCCTGAAAAGGGCTTGTTAAACTAATTTCAGATTTCGAAATCTGAAATTGCGATTGCGAGCGTGTACCAGGTACTGTACTTTTTCACAATTTACTTCTTAGCAGCCGTAGTCTTGGCTTTCGGCTTCTTAGCGGTAGCAGGAGCAGCTGCTTTCTTCACCGCCTTTTTGGGTTTAGCAGACGCCGCTGGTTTGGCTTTTGGTGCTTTGGCCGCCTTCGGCTTCGCTGCCGTCGACTTGGCCTTTGTTGCTGATGGCTTTGCCTTTACGGTTCCAGTTTTCTTGGCATCCTTGGCCTTCGTCTTCTCCGTTTTCTTCTTCTCGGCGGTCTTTCTGGTGGCAACAGCCTTCTTAGCCTTGGGCTTCTTGTCGGCAGCTCCCGTGGCAGCCTTCTTGGCGGTGGCTCCGGTCTTCTTGGCGGCTACCTTCTTGCTTTTCACTTTCTTCTCAGCAGACGCAACCTTTGGCTTGGGATCCTTCTTGGCGGAGGCCGACAGTTTAAATGAGCCAGACGCACCCTTTCCCTTTGTTTGAATCAGCTTTCCATTGACCACGGCAGATTTCAAGTACTTCTTGATGAATGGAGCCAGCTTCTGGGCATCGCATTTATAAGTGGCACTGATATATTTCTTGATTGCCAGAAGCGATGAGCCGCCACGCTCCTTCAAATTCTTGATGGAAGCGTCTACCATTTGCTGAGTTGGCGGATGCGATGGCGGGGCAGTGGTCTTCTTTGCCTTTGTAGTAGGGATGTCGAAAATATATCAAAATATCAATATATCGATATTTTTTACGAAAAAATAAATATTTTTATCGTGATATTTTTTTTGAATATTTATCATATATCATCGATTTTTTTCACATTTTTTTTGATAATTTTAAGTGGTCTCACTTTTCATCGGGACAAGAAAAAATACATATGGGACGCTCCATATCAACCCGGCCACCCCCCTTTTTTTATACCCGTTACTCGTAGAGTAAAAGGGTATATTAGATTCGTGCAAAAGTATGTAACAGGTAGAAGAAAGCGTTTCCGACCCTATAAACTATATATATTCTTGATCAGGATCACTAGCCGAGTCGATCTAGCCATGTCCGTCTGTCCGTCTGTCTGTCCGTCTGTCTGTCTGTCTGTCTGTCTGTCCGTATGAACGCTGAGATCTCGGAAACTATAAAAGCTAGAAGATTGACATTTTGCATGCAGATTCTAGGAGTTCCTACGCAGCGCAAGTTTGTTTCAAAAGGGTGCCACGCCCCCTCTAACGTCCACAATCGCTTATAAACGATTTTAAAAATTTTGGAAAATAAATATTTTGGAAAAGTACAAATGCAGTTTTGTTGTGTTTATCAATACCTATCGAAATGTAGAAGAAATTTTTTAAATCGGACCATTCGTTAAAAAGTTACGGCGGATCAAACTTTTTATCTCCATCTCCTTCGCATTCCCTTTAGCTGAGTAACGGGTATCTGATAGTCGGGGCACCCGACTATAGCGTTCTCTCTTGTTTTAATTTTCTATGTGGAAAGTACCACATTGATTGCAAAGCCCCTTGCTTCCAATATTTTACCTCATACCACTCTTTCGCCGTATAATCGCGTAAAAAAGAAAACAAAAAATCATTTTTATCCTGCGAACGAAAGAAACAATTGGCATGGTTCAAAATCAGAAAAACCTGTCTTTCCATAGCCGGTTATGAGAAAAATAATAGATTTTATTAGACCGTAGATGACCAAGCGATAGCGTTTTTAAAGTCTAAAAGTAGGATTTCGTCAAGGGCCAGTCTGCAAAAATACCATTATATTTTTCTCAGAAAGCCCCATATTTAACGGATTTTATGCCACTGATTTCAAAGTGGGATCTCTCTTGAGGAATTAGCTATGAATTCTTTTGTACGTTTTTGTAGTAGTTAACTGTCAGAAAAAGCTAATAAGTAATATAAAATAATCGTATATGCTTTGGAAAAAATTAACAAATCAATGAAAAGAATTCATAGCTAATTCCTCAAGAGAGATCCCACTTTGAAACCAGTGGCATAAAATCCGTTAAAACTCGGGCCTTTTGAGAAAAATATAATGGTATTTTTGCAGACTGGCCCTTTAGACGAAATCCTACTTTTAGACTTTAAAAACTCTATCGTTTGGTCATCTACGGTCTTAAAAAATCTTTTATTTTTCTCGTAATCGGCCATCGAAAGACAGATTTTTCTGCTTTTGAACTATGCTGATTGTGCCTTTCGTTCGCAGGTTAAAAATGATTTTGTATTTTCCTTTCAGCGCGAATATACGGCGAAAGAGTGGTAACATTGAAAAAATGGGTATGAGGTAAAATATTGGAAGCAAGGGGCTTTGCAATCAATGTGGTACAGTCCACATACAAAAAAAATCAAAAAAGGGGGTGGCCGGGTTGATATGGAACGTCCCATATGTGAAAGATGAGCGCCGCTAAAATTTATTTTTCGGCACGTGAAAATGCATAGCATAGCATTCAGAATTCAATAAAACGCACTTTAACTGTGGGTCTGGCATCAGTCATTTGCTCTGCTAATGTTTGCTTGAGGTGCAAACTTATTTTCTTGTTTTCAGTGCTTAAGATTTTAAATAGAAAATATGTTTTTATTGGTATACATCCTTAAAAGATGAATTAATCAATTACCGTTTTCGAATTGTAAGTATCTTGTTTTTGTGACTTTTTATTGCTGCATGAACTTCAACATTGACATTCGTAACATGAACAATTTTTTTAAAAACCCATTTTAAAATATGAAATCTCTGAAGTATTTGGAATCTTGTTAATAAAAAATAAAATTCGAACGTTTTACTTTACGAAAAACCAAAAATATAATCACTTATCATTAATTTAGGTATTTTAATTCTTGTTTCAAGTTGTCCCTTGGCTACGTACAAAGTTGTCTATCAGACTACATTCGATAATAGTTTTCGGACTGTTAAAAATATTAATCTTTCGAAACATTACATTTATTTGCAATTTTATAAAATGAATTTTGTCTTTGTTTAAGTGGATTTAGCTTTTCAGGCAATTTTATAAATAGTTTTTCCAAATTCGGATACTTTGCGTCCCATATATGAATTAGGTAGAGGCCGCACTGAATTTTACATTTAAAAAAAAACATAAAATACATATTTTTGATTCTTTTTTTTTATTTAACATAATAAGTAAAGCATTGAATAGTGTATATGTGTTATTTTCAGACTGTTTTTAATAATATTTCGATTTTTTACTGATGTCTAATGCTGAGCGTTCTTGTCCCATTAAACCACACTCATTTTAAAAGTGTGCAGCTTCACGCACTCAATTTTTCTTACAAAAAAAACATAAATTATATAATTTTGAATCTTTTTTTTATATAATATAATAAATATTACATTGAATAATGTATATGTTTTATTTTCAGACTGTTTTTAATAATTTTTCGAATTTTTTAATTATATCTAATGTTGAGCGTTATTGTCCCATTGAACCACACTCATTTTTAGAGTGTGCGTACGTAGAAGTCGCACTCATTTTGAATCTTTTTTTATTAAATATAATAAATAATGCATTAAATAATGTATATGTTTTATTTTCAGACTGTTTTAAATAAGTTTTCAATTTATTACTTATGTTTAACGTTGAGCGTTCTTGTCCCATTAAACCATACTAATTTTAAAAGTTTGCCAAAATCACAAGTGAAATGTTTTTAAAAACATATTTGAAAATAAGAAATTAAACATATATTGTCACGTTCGTTGATAAACATTAAAGTTAAAGTCATTTACATCAAGATATGACACAAAATGCTGTCTTTTATAACTTGTTTTATATTTACCCAAGACAAAAATACTCCACTGAATGGTTCATAGACATAGGTCGCCATGAAGTTAGCGATTAAGAAAAAATATAAAATCTGTAATTTTCTAATCTTATTTTGTTTCATTATGTTCACTAGGTTATAATAAGAATATATTTGATAGATTTTCGATTTTTTTCTGATGTTTGAAAGTATTGACCATGTCTTTCATACTTCCGACTATTTCTTAATTTTATCTACGTGGAAGCCTGCTGAATTAAAATTAATATCTCATTGAACGTAATTTGTGGTCCTGAAAAGGACCGATTTGTACAAAGTATGCTGGAGCATTGGCAGCCAGTTGAAGCCGTCTCAACTTAAGCTCGCTCGCCGCGAATGCGACGGGCCAACTGGATGTCCTTGGGCATGATGGTGACACGCTTGGCATGAATGGCGCACAAGTTAGTATCTTCAAAGAGGCCAACCAGATAGGCTTCGCTAGCTTCCTGCAGAGCCATTACCGCCGAGCTCTGGAATCGCAGGTCAGTCTTGAAGTCCTGAGCGATTTCACGCACCAGACGCTGGAAAGGCAGTTTGCGGATCAGCAGCTCGGTACTCTTCTGGTAGCGACGGATCTCACGCAGAGCAACAGTTCCAGGGCGATAGCGATGGGGCTTCTTCACGCCTCCGGTGGCTGGGGCGCTCTTACGAGCGGCCTTAGTAGCCAGTTGTTTGCGTGGCGCCTTGCCACCAGTCGATTTGCGAGCGGTTTGCTTGGTACGGGCCATTTTCGAATTCACTGCTGTTCACGTTCACTTCACGTTTCAAAACACAATAAACGATCGCCGCATTTGCTACCTACTTATATAGCAAAACGTGGAGGGTTGAAAAGAGAGAGAAGCAGAGGCCATCTCATTTGTCGAGCGGAGAGCGAGGCGGACATATCGTTCGGACTCGCTCGTGTTTCTGGCGTTTTAGGTATATATAGGGGCACGCCGAAAATTTGGAATTAGTTCTTCAGTGACTTTCGTGCAGTGTGTTAACAGTAGAAAAGAGTGAAAATGACTGGTCGCGGTAAAGGAGGCAAAGGCTTGGGAAAAGGAGGCGCCAAGCGTCATCGCAAAGTGCTGCGTGATAAGCCGTTTGGCTCGTCGTGGCGGCTTAAAGCGCATCTCTGGACTCATTTACGAGGAAACACGTGGCGTTCTGAAGGTGTTCTTGGAGAACGTTATCCGTGATGCCGTCACCTACACCGAACACGCCAAGAGGAAGACTGTCACAGCCATGGATGTTGTGTACGCCCTGAAGAGGCAAGGCCGCACCCTGTACGGCTTCGGCGGTTAAAAAACTAGTACAGCTTGTACTTCATTCAGCAATCGGTCCTTTTCAGGACCACCATTAAAATTTCGAGAGAAGACAAATTTTCAATAATATTTATAATACAATAATATTAAAATGCGCTGGAAAACAATCGGTCACTGAAATATCAAACTACACATGCACATGGGATGAATGTATTTTGTACAAACTGTACTGCTTGCAACGGAAAAGTGTAAGCGTAAACGGCAACTCGTTACATCTTTTGAGGAAGAAATACGAGTGAGTCGCCAATGTAATCTAAGAATTGAACATTTAGATCCTGTAGCTTTCGACCACTAATCTACTGGACCGACGGCCGAACAAATCAAACATTAGCTTCCGAATAGTATTGTGAACCTACCATTTGTACCATTTGAGTTCATTTAAGCCTCAATGTTATATTTCAAGCAGTTTTATAGTTTATTTTTGAAATTAAATCATATTCGTATATGTAAATCTTCTATTCTTTGGTAATAACGTGGTCGTCCTGAAAAGGACGGTTGGGTATATGTTTGTATGTACAAATGAGCTCCGCTTTTAAAACGATTAAGCCTTCTTCTCGGTCTTCTTGGGCAACAGAACGGCCTGGATGTTGGGCAGCACTCCGCCCTGGGCAATGGTGACACCGGAGAGCAGCTTGTTCAACTCCTCGTCGTTGCGGATGGCCAGCTGCAGATGACGCGGGATAATCCTAGTCTTCTTGTTGTCACGGGCAGCATTGCCAGCCAACTCGAGAACCTCAGCGGCCAGATATTCCATCACGGCAGCTAGGTAAACAGGAGCGCCGGCACCAACACGCTCGGCATAGTTGCCCTTGCGGAGCAGACGGTGAATACGGCCCACTGGGAACTGAAGACCGGCACGGTTCGAGCGGGACTTTGCCTTTCCCTTCACTTTGCCACCTTTTCCACGACCAGACATTTTGCTTTACGAGTATTTCACTTAGTTCACTTTACACACTGAAAACACACTGAATGCTCGCCCAGCCCCGGGTAGCCACGTATTTATACTTTTTCGTCTGCCTGCGCGTTCAGTTAGGGGTGGGTGCCATAGACCTGAAAACATTGCTCGAAAAAAAGTATAAAGCTGAACACTCTCTTCGCACCACTATGATCAGTGAATTGTGTTTGTGAAATCATAAGTGAAGTGAATAATGCCGCCTAAAACTAGTGGAAAGGCAGCTTCAAGTCTCAACCTCAACCAGTAATCAAACCAAAAGCTTACCTTCAGATAGTGACTGAGAAAACCAATCAATTCAGACAGTGACTGCAAAAATCAAAGTGGATCATTCTGTGATCAAAAATAAAAACCAGCAATCTGCATATGCAGTTGCTATAAATCGAAAAGCCAAATTAAAGTCTACAACAAAGACTCAAAAAGTGCGAAATGAGCCGTATACGGTAAACGTCAAAAACTTCAAAGAATTCGATAGTGCCTTAATCGAAAGATCAACCCCTTATGTCCAACATCTTGGAGCCTCCAGAGCTCGCAGCCCCTGCAAACGTATCAAGTGATAGCCATTACCAAAAAATGGACTTCGAAGAAGCCTCCAGAAAACGAGAACACTGTGATGAATCGTCGGACGATGATGGTCAGAGCAGCAGCGATCCTTCCGACCTAGAAGAAGAAGAGGAGCAAAGTGATGAGCATGTCAACCTTACCCAATCGCAACTCAGTGGGTTAATGGAAGAACTTGAACTCCTTCGTCAAGAAAACAAACGTCTTAAAGAGCTATACCTACATCAACCGACAACAAAAAATGATGCACCTGGAACATCCAAAAGAATGAAATCAGCTGAAGCCAACGACAACAGCAACTACGAAAACGAGTACCCGTCTCTGTCAGACGGCAAGAGGGATCGAAAGGCGGTCAGCGTCAGCAGCCCTCGTCATGTCAACATCAGCAACAACATCAGCAACAACAGCAGCAACAACATCGGCAAAAAATCGTCAAAACCAGGAGGACCCCAGGGTATCCAGAAGATAACTACACCAAAAGCGGCGATTCCTCCAATAATTATAGTTTACAATGCAGAACCAAAAACATTAACAGGTATGTTGCAAAATTTTATTAAGGACAACAAGTTTATCCTAAATATAATAAACAAAAACATAATCCATGTCAAGGTATTCTGCCTAGAACACTACCAACAAACAAAAGAATTACTGTCAAAAAATAAAGCTAAATTCTTTTCATATACCCCCAAAGAACGAAAACCGCACTCAATAGTCCTTAAAAAACTCCCTCTTGATGTCTTCCAAGTAGATGACATACTAACCGCCCTTAAAGAAAGCTTGCCCACTGTAAAATTTATATCAGTAAAGCCTTTTAAAAACAAATTCTGGCTAGTGCAGGTAGCTAGCATTGAAGAAAAGAAACAAGTTTTCCAACTAAAAGCCTTGCTTTATTGTAAAATTGCAGTAGAAGGTCTGAAAAAAAATAAAAATTATTTGATGCAATGTCGTAACTGTCAGCGATACACGCATATGGCTATTAACTGTAACATGGGATACCGTTGTGTGAAATGTACCGGAGACCATGGTCCTGGTAATTGCAAGATTAAAAAGTCGGAGAACCCGTCCGATAAGACTGAAGCCAAATGTGTCAACTGCAATGGTCCTCACACGGCAAATGCACCCATTTGTCCAACACGAATTGCAGCTAAAGAAAAACAAACTCAAAACAGGAAATCACCCACAATAAATATCAATCGTCCGATTACTCAAGCTGAAAGCCTCTCACTTATTAGAGGGGAAACTACCTTCTCTTCTCTTTTCTCAAAAAAAGGCAAACAGGAAGGCACAACAAAAAAAGTGCAACCTCAGCAAAGAGTAGTCACTTCTAGCCACGAACTCAGCAAGTTCATGGAGAAAAGGCTAAATCCGACCCAATCCTTTGAATCTTTCAAAAGAGACACGGTTGAAGCCTTCGGGAAGGATATAATGTCATGCTTTCAAATCATGCAAAATGCGACAAAAAAGTACTCAGGAATAGCGAGCCTCAGCCATGATGAACAAAAACGACAGAAGCAGGAGATCATCCTTGACTTCTTATTTCAAATATCAATAAATTAATGTCGCAACTGAAACGTATTTTCCAAAATGTCAATTCTCTCGTTTCTCTTCAAAAAAGAAACGATCTAAATCTGTTCCTAAACAAACACAGGCCGGACACAATGCTAATAGCAGAGCATCGTCTGGGCCAGCGACACTCTACTAACCTAGCTTATTATCACTTTGTCCGCCAATTAACAAGAGCAACGGACACTAGAATAGAACGAAGACAGGTACACCGACCCGAAAACCGGGGGTCCTCGGTTGCAATTTGCATTAGAAACGGAACAAAATACAGACGCATTGAAATGGGGCCATTACGGTTCCTAGAAGCAGTAGCTATTGAAATCAACTGTAGAATGTCAGGCGGAACCTGTCATAGCATAGTAATAGTATCTTCATACCTACGACCTAATGAGCCACTGCACGTGCAAGATCTAGATAAAATAACAGAGCGTCGCTTGTGAACGGTTGTGTTTACCATTGTGCTCTGAGTTTTTGTTTTATATTGTGTTATTTCCGCAAGTATTTTGTGTTTATTTACTAACAAAGTTTAGCCTAACAATCGTGTTAGTGACTTTCATAGATCTCCCAGATTACGGGTACGTGGTTATAGTTATTTTAACATTTCCATTTGATTTATTTAATATCTTGGCTTTGTTAGTGTAATTTGCACTCTCCAAATTGGCTCTTATATTCTCTCTCTTACTCTTACTCTCTCTCTCTCTGCCGCTCTATTATAACTGTAATTTCACTCTCTCTGAACCTGCCGAATTTCTTGTAGACCTATTCTCATAGTCTCTCTCTCTCTTGCTTGCTTTGCATCTAACTGTTCGTGCGTTGAGTTGTTTTGGTGCCCCACAAGCCACGCTCAGTCGATAGAAGACTTTTTTCTCGCGCTCTCTTTCGATTTAATTCGCGATCTCGCGCTCTTATACTTTTTGTGTTTTTGTGATTTTGTGGTTTTGGAATTTGATCCCAGTGCCAAATTTACTTGAGGTATTTTTTTATACTTTTATATACTTTTTATTTTATTCTCTTTATTCTCTAACGTATTTTTCTTATAATGACTCTTATCTGTACTAAGAAAAATTGTAGGACTGCATCTAATGACCCTTTTGTTTACTGTTGGCTCTGCGAAGCAATGATGCATTCTAAATGTGCAGGATTTACTGGCAGAGTTAAAGACTTTATTGAAATGCGGATTGGTCTCATGTGGGTATGTGAGCACTGCAGGGATTTGGCAGTTGAGATGAGCAGCTTTATGAGGCAGACTCGAGACGGCCTATGTAATCTTTCACGAGTTTTTAAACAGCTCAATGAAGGATTTAATTCCGTATGTGAACAATTTAATAATAAAAAATTATTAACCGAGTCGCCCAAACGCAAAAAAGCTAGCTCAACGACAGTAAAGGCGAGTGTTGAATCCTCTTTAAATCCAAACTTGGTAGCTGCTGCAGTTTCTGGTGACACAGGGGTAAGTGAACCACCTGTGCCAATGGATACTGCTAGTTCAGGTGTAGTCCCTGTAGCCCCTGTATCTGAATGTCAGGCTCCAGATCCGGCGGTATCAACCAATCCGGAGCCGACCATACCCATAGGTACAGTGGGCGCCGTTTCTGTCGCTCAGCCGAATGACGTTCAGGCTGCTGCTGGGGGGCGTAAAAATCTCTCAGTTGTACCCAGACGTACAGAAGGTGCCGCTTCTGGCGCTCAGCTGAGTGAGGTTCAGACTGCTGCTGGGGGGCGTAAGAAACTCTCAGTTATTCCACATAGGAAGCAACTATTTGTTTCAAGATTTACGCCTGATACCACATCTGAGGATGTTTTGGAATTCATTCGTGAAAAATTCCCATCCGAGGATATTGCGGTTGAACAATTTCGATTTTCATACGCCCGTAGGATATCGTCTTTCAAAATTTTTGCTCCGCCTGATGTGTTTAAAGAACTGCTTTCTGAAAGCTTCTGGCTTAATGATGATCTGGTTATAAAAGAATTTGTTCCTAATAAACCGAGAACAAATAATAGGCCTTCCACGGTGCCAAAAAACTGAAAAGTTTATTATTGGCTTACCAAAATGTTAGAGGACTTAACATGAAGCTACCAAAGCTTTATGCTGACTCCTCGGCATTTACGGACGATATCTTAGCTTTTACTGAAACTTGGCTGAAACCAGAGATAACAGACTCTGAAGTTCTGTCTACCAATTTTAATACCTACAGAACCGATCGCCTTTCCCGTAGGGGGGCGGCGTTTTAATTGCCGTCACCTCCACCATAAGTTCTGAGAGAATTCACTCTTATGCCTCTAATGACATTGAATTTGTTTGTGTGAAAGTTTCCCTGCAAACCTTGTCTATTTTTATTACATGTTCGTATATTCCGCCTGGCTCTGACCTAATAATTTATGAGCAACATCTATCTGCTATTAAATCAATTTTACCCTTTTTTTCCAATAGAGACCTTTTCATTGTTTTGGGTGACTTTAATCTCCCTGATATATCTTGGTCCCCCCCTTCTGACTCACTTGTCGCTTTACCTTTATCCACCCATGATTTTGTGGATGGCCTTTTAGAATTATCGTTACAGCAGGTTAGCTTTATACGAAATTCATTAAATAGACAATTAGATCTTGTGTTTGTTTCAGAGCCGTCTGAAGTCACAGTATCTAGAATTGACGCTCTTGTGGTACCAGAAGACCGATACCATCCAACTATGGAATTGACAATTTGCCTCCCCTACCTTGATACCCTCTCTCCTTTAGTTTCTCCAACTAAAATGAGATGTTTTCGGAAATGTGACTATAATAAACTTAATTTAATGATTTCGCAATACGATTGGACAGATCTTTATAACTGTGTGGACATCGAAAGTGCAACGGAACTTTTCTATAGCGTTCTAAACACTTTTTTTAATGAATGCGTTCCTGATAGGCTTCCTCCCAAGCCGAACAGGCCCCCCTGGTTTACAAATGCGCTTCAAAGACTAAAAAATCTTAAAACAAACACTTATAAAAAGTATAAAAAATCGGGTAAGCCATCTGATTTTTCGAAATATGTGGTGGCTCGATCTGATTTTAATGTTCTTAACAGTCATTGCTATTCCATGTATTTAAATCGTTGTAAATTTGAATTTACAAATGATCCGAAGCAATTTTATAACTTTGTCAACGCAAAGCGTAAGTCATCAGCTTTGCCTTCATCGGTTCGATTTAACTCAATGGAGGCATCGACTGACTCTGAAATTGCTGATTTATTCTCTGACTTTTTCCAAACTACTTATAGCTCTTCTTCATGGTCAGAATCAAATTACCGTAATCCCTTAAATAGGGCAAATTGTATTTTTTCCCCTATAATTACCGAAAGTTCTCTCTTAAGAGATTTAACATCAACAACGCCAACTTATTCTCCCGGTCCTGATGGACTTCCTGGGTGTGTGCTTAAGTTTTGTGCATCAACCATCTGCAAACCTATTCTTAAACTTTTTCAATTGTCTATTTCATCATCAGTTTTTCCAACTATCTGGAAGGATTCTTTTATTATTCCACTTCACAAAAAGGGTGCGAAGGCGGATGCCCAGAATTATAGAGGTATTTCTAAATTGTCGGCTATTCCAAAAGCCTTTGAACGTATTATCACTTCTCATTTGCAACATTTATGTTCCTCGCTAATATCACCGTGTCAGCACGGTTTTGTTAAGCGAAGATCGACTACCACCAACCTACTTGAATTGTCATCAATTGTAATAAATGGATTTAACAATAAAATGCAGACTGACGTTGTATATACAGATTTCAGTAAAGCCTTTGACTCTGTTAACCACTCTCTTCTTTTATTCAAATTAGATTTGCTTGGGTTTCCATGTAATCTATTAACTTGGATTTCAAGCTATTTGAATGGGAGGACTCAGAGGGTTATATTTAAGAACGCTGTTTCAAAAACGATCCATGTGACATCTGGAGTACCTCAGGGTAGTCATTTGGGCCCTTTGCTGTTTACTT